TGTTTGTCGTTGTTGTTGTTATTTATTGTACACCGAATTGTTGGACAACCAAAATATGACACAAATAAAGAGTTATATATTTATATTTAATTAAGATAATATACGGTAATATAGGTAAGGTAAAATAGACAATAAAAGCTTAACTACAAGAAAGTAAAAGTAGGGTTTTTAAATTATATGAATAAAATTGGGTCCCCGCGGCAAGGTGCCCAAGATGCTGGCAGCGTTCTCCCTTTGTATTGATAAGCTAATAATGCGTTGGGTAAGGTAGCTGCCGACCCTTGGGTTTCGTATTCTATTAATTTTTTCGATAAAATTTTGTACAGATGAAAACTAGAATGATATTTTACAAAAAAAATAAATAAATGGATGATATTGAATGATTACTCCACTACTTTGTTATTATCATTAATACAAAGGTCAACAAATTTCTTCGAACTGACTGGACTCGAACCTTCGTTTGTGCCATACCAGAGCAACCGCTTAGTGAAAAAAAACTTTTATAGATTTCTTTCAAATAGCGCCACGGCAAAAAAGCTCGTAAGGTCTGCTGACTTGATCTGTAGCTCAGTTGGTAGAGCGGTCGCCTTGGTGCAGCAGAGACGCAGGTTCGAGTCCTGTCAGATCGAAGGAATTTTATTTTGTGTTCGATCTTTGTATTTTAAAACAATTTCATTTCAAGCTTAACAATGTAATGTTAAAAATGAATGCGTATGTAATACGTACGTATTTTGCCCTTGACATGACGGTATATGCAAGAAAAGTAAATACGATTACGTGAGACCGATACAAAAATCCATGTTTACGTTCCAATTATGGTAAGTTATCGACAAACAGTTCATGAAAAACCATGAATTCCGATTCACGTGAATTCACGTAATGCCTCGAAGCTTGTGGGTACCTATCATGAGTTCGCGTTCTTGTAATAAAACCACGCCAGTAAAATGACAACTCAGATATTGTACTCTTGGGTCCTAAACATCCTTACACTGTACTGGTGGTCACGGGTATTTTGACATTGTTAATTGAGTACAAAAACTTTTTTGCTTTTGCAGGACACTTTGAAGGTGGCCGCTGATAGCCTTGACTGCGCCCATAGATATAGATGACTGCGCCCGGTTGGCGGGTACGAAAACTAACAAAACTTTTGAGAGATAATATATATAATCTCTCAAAAGGAATATATAATATAGGAAAATCTTACTAGCGCGATTCAGGAATTTCACAAAACGTTACTAACGTCATAGTATTACCAAAACCAATGAACCCTATTTGCTTACTAAATTATATCGAAAATTAAAAATTAAATAGGAGAGTTGTAAGATTTCACATGTACATAACTTGTTGTGTATAATTTTTTTGTGACACCCTTTCAAACTTATAATTATATGTGTTCATAATATTACCATAATTGGATTACGTTTTGCATTGTCGTCAAAAGCTTTAATGTGTATTAAATAATACATCCATTCATTCGTTCAATCTAGTCTGAATAAGACCTGAAAGTTTTGTCTAAGTAATTCTCCAATGGTAAATTATATTTACATGATGTCATGCGACAATCCCTGTGAACTCGTGGTAAGGGCAATGAAAAATACTAGCAAGGAACGTTGATCGATTGAATTTTTGGTAATTGCGTGATTGTTGACTTTATTGTGATACTATTTGTGTTTATTTATCGATCATTACACATTTTTATTTGATGTTGTGTTGGTATGGTTATTTGGAGAGGGTGAATGGTAGTATGACAGTGACAAAAAACATTGTAAATTCCTTCGATCGGACAGGACTCGAACCTGCATCTGCGCCATATCAAAGCTACCGCTCTATCAACTGAGTTACAGATCGAGTCAGCAGAACTTACGAATTTTTCTATGCGTTTGTTACAGATTTTTGTTTTTAACGACTTTGTTGTTTTTAATGATATCATGTAACGGGATAAACTAGTCATACGCCTGTGGTAAGCGACACGCCTATCAATAACAGTTTATAAAAGCTTTAAATCACGAAGATCTGTGGGACACTGTTACTGACACTGGTACATAAATTTGACATTCCCATGTGTAGTAAGTAGTGTAGTTTCACCAGAACCGTTACTCTTGAAAACCGGAATGAAAAAATAATTTTTAGCAGCAGTAGAGCTCCTTGTGAAAGAGGTCGTCCAGGGAAGTACTGCCACCCTACCGATTTCTGCCACCAAGCAGTAATGTAAACATTACTGTGTTCCGGTTTTGAAGGGTAAGCTGGTGAGATTACAGACACACGGGACTTGTGAACTTTGTTCAAGATGCTGCGTATTCTAAGGACATTGCACATTTCGTTCGTTGTTCTTGACTGTGGATATCCACAGTCTGTCAGACTATGGCTTGATTCATATCGCCGAGACGCAACGCAACGCGACGCGATGCTACGCTAAAACGAGCAATGCAACTTTAACTTTATCCTTTAGAAAATAAGGCAACATTTCATTAAAATTTTGTATGTCACGGGGATGTTTATCACATATTGCATGCGATATGCTGTCATACTACGCATGCTATTTCTTTTTATTGTTTCTGTTTATTTCGTTTGTCGCGCTTAATTTTTACATAGATAAAATTACCGTGCAGTACTGACAAAAAGTTTTAAAATCAGCTGTGATCGTGTACTGCATCTTCGTTTTCATTTGTTTGTTTAATGAAATGTTGCCTTAATTTGGTTGAGGATAAAGTTGATCTTGCGTTGCTCGCTTGAATGCACCGCAAACCACCCTATTTTTCATCAATATTAGACATAACTGTTTGAAGACTGTACCACCTCAGTCAACCGTGACCATGGGACCTGTAAAGGGCCCGAAACGTCGGCTTGTTTGAAAAAACAAATATACGCGATTTAAGTCCGGAAAAATAGTTTCATTTCCTATATGCAACCTAAGAACTCGATAAGTTATTTCTATTCAAAAACGAATAAATTTCTTTTCCCTCGTTAACAGCCGAAAGATTCTTGTTGTCATGAAATTACAAAATACTGTATTGAACCGTGTTTTGACATGACAGAATGCCGTTTTTTATTGTTAAAATTTGAGCCGCAATAAAATGTTAGTAACCCCTACTTTTGGGACTTTCGTGCGATCTGGGAGTTTTCGCTAACTCAGGCGCTCCGCAACACTGTACAGCATTTCTCACGCGTAATTGTTAAACTAAAAGGCTGTATTGCTGCAAACCGTGTTATGTCAAAATAATTGTATTGGTGTGTATTTTAGTTTTTAATATCACATGCAAAAACACTAATACCTCCAAAATTGAAATACCCTGACGGTATAGATTAGGCCTAGAGAAATCATATGAGCGCTGTTAAATCAAAACACTGCAAGTGATTTTAAAGTGTATTGGTTTGACACGACGGATTACTGCTATGTTTAACCGTGTTGCTCACCACCGGATGCACGACATGTTCTTACTCTCACTTGGTATCATACAAAAAATACTTAAATTTGGCTGCAGAATTAGGCAGTACATGCCTGCTATATTTTTCATAATGACCTCTACTTCTACTACGTAGCGTTTTAGTATCAGGAATAAATGGTGTATGAAAATGATGCTAACAAAGTAAAGCGAAATTGTTATGTCCGGAGCGTAGCAGGTGGAGGTCCATTGTACTTTATATTTTTTATTTGCTTGCCCTGGTGGGAAACAGCGCAATATTATGTATGTTATATTGTGGAACGTACGTTACGTACGTACGTAATTATATTTGCCTCAATTATATATTGTACAATTGTACATTTAAACTTAGGGGAACTGGTTCTTCAAAGGTAAATATTTTTTTTACATACTCAACGTTAATGAAAACCCTTTTTAATAGAAAGGTACGTAATGTTAATACACTGGTTTTAAAAATTCGTTAATTTGACGTCTACACTGGCGTAGTGGTCAATTATGAGAGATAGATAGCTCAGGATTTAATTTCCGATGGGTCCAATTTAGTTAATCAAGTTTCCTAAATTGGTTCAAGTGTTAATGTTTTGGGTGTTCCAGTGCGTTCAGAGTTATCCTTATTGTGGTAGATTCGGTGTGGAAGTATAATGCATTGGAGAAAGAACCAAAATCAAAAAATAAATAAATCCATAAAATAGTAATGTCGTAGCAATTTCATGATACCAAGTGGGAGGACAAACAAGTCGTGCGACAAACGCGACACGCCTATCCATAACAGTAAACAGTTAACAGGCACTACCACTGCGCCTGTCATGCGCAGAAATGCTCACATTACTGCTTGGTAACAGAATAATGATGCTCTTTTTAAAAAGAGTGTTTAATGCATGCAGCAATTAATAAATTATGTTAATATAGCAGTGTACCCAATCTTTTTCCTATAAATATTATGTTATTAATAACATTTTGTACTATGGATGAAAATTTTAAGTTCGTAATTTCCTTTGTTTTATAGCTATAATGTACTAGATGAAGAGGAGCGCGACTTTCTGATACCATCACTTCTGTCTAAATCTGATGAAAACAGTGGTAGTGCCATTAGTAAAAAATGCCACGGGAGATATATCTGACAAATCCAACTACAGGCCGATCTCACTAGCTACAATAACAGCAAAAGTCTTGGACCGAATTCTTGATATGCATCTTAGTAAGAGTCTACAAGTACATGATGCTCAGTTTGGTTTTCGTGAAGGCTTATCAACCGAATGTGCTATTTTGACCGTCAAACACACCGTTGATTATTATGTAAAGAGGAAAACCCCCATATATGCATGTTTCTTAGATCTATCAAAAGCTTTTGACCTAGTCTCATATGATAAACTTTGGTCAAAGTTAAGCTCAGTAGGGGTTTCTCCGGAAGTCATAAAACTTTTTCAGTTTTGGTACAGTAATCAGAAAAACACTATAAAATGGGCAAATTTTCATTCTGATGAATACACATTAAATTGTGGTGTAAGACAAGGAGGATTGACCTCGCCGAGGCTATTTAATGTATATGTGAACAGTCTAATTGAGGAGCTGAGCAGCATGCAGGTCGGATGCCGAATAGATGGCGTCACTGTCAATAACATAAGCTATGCTGACGACATGGTGCTGCTCAGCCCTTCAATTGGAGGTCTTAGGAAGCTTTTACGTGTATGTGAAGCTTATGCTGTGGAGCACGGTTTGAAGTACAACGTTACAAAAAGCGAGTTTATGATTTTTAAAGGAAAGAACAAAGGTCCTGTTCATGTACCACCGCTGTTGCTAAACGGTATTACTATTAGACGTGTTCCACGGTTTAAGTATCTGGGACACATTTTGACTGAAGAATTGATGGATGATGAGGATATCGAGAGAGAGCGCAGGGCGTTGTCGGTTCGTGGGAACATGCTGGCACATAGATTCACTCGTTGTACTGTCAGTGTTAAACTGACTCTTTTCAAAGCGTATTGTCAGAGTTTTTACACGTGTGGTCTATGGGCCAGGTTCACAAAGCGGGCCTACGACTCTCTGCGAGTCCAGTACAACAACGTTTTCAGAGTTCTATTGAGGCTTCCCCGATTCTGTAGTGCTTCGGGCATGTTTGCCGATGCACACATGGACGACTTCTATGCGATTATACGAAAGAAGACCGCGTCTATTGTGCAGCGGATACGGGGAAGTGACAATGGAATTCTGAGGATGATAGCAGACAGGATGGACTCTGCTATCCTCAGCCGGTTTACATTGTTACATGTAAAAAAATAGTCCCTTAGTGGTGTAGAATGTCAAATTATTTCACTAACATAGTTTTTAAGTATTCTTGTTGCTAACATTCTATGGATTGATTGGTCTGAAAATAAAGGATTTTTATTTTTTTTTTTTTTTTTTATTTATTTTAAATCGCGTATATTTGTTTTTCAAATAAACCAGCGCTTCTGCCTCTTTACAAGTCCCATCACGGCTGATTTAGATGATTAAATTATGTTTAATGTAAACCAACCACCCTGCTTCTCGCTTTAGTTACAAAAGTTATTCATTTGAATAGCTTATTTCTAATGTACCAAAGAACATTTCAATTACGCTTCATGTACGCTACGTAAAATATTTTGTTTTGTTAAATAAGCTGTGACCAGGGGACCTGGACAGAGTATTTTTTGTATTTCTTTCTCGTAATTACCCCGACAAATAGTTCTTTCTTCATCATGATTTCACACAGTGACAGTCGATTTTTGTTCAAAGCAATAAATTTGCAAAGAAGTTTGAGTCTGTACTTATAATATTTCAAATTATAACTCAGCACTACCCACTAAGACGTACCATTAAACTTAGAATTTTTGTCTGTTTGTCTATGAGTTCGTGCACGCTAATTTCCACAATGGCTAAACCAATTTTAATATGGTTTCCGTAAGTTTAATAAAAAGACCTTGTATTAACATTTAATTTTTATTTTATTTAAACCGATTAATAAATAAAGAAGATATATAAATTTGATTGCGTGTCATGAAGCGTGGATAAATCGGTGTAGCCATATCGCTCTTAAGAAATTGTAGCTCACCAAAACTGTGTAACGGCAGATTAAAAGTGACAACGAAACGTGATATCAGCTTATATAATTAGTAGGGTATGGCGCAGGTGACACTGTTTTGTACCCCGGATCCCTCTTATTTCAAACAATATTCCTCTCAGTTTTAAGCGAGTACAATTTCCAGTCGACTTACATCAAATTTTGAGAGTCGACGGTGTGGATAGCAGTACAAGGTCATTTACATACAGCTAGGACCCGGCGCCTATTGACGGGAAAGCAAGACAGGGAATTTTTAGATGACGAATATACCTTAATGTTATGCCATTATAGTTGAAATTTCAATTACCTATAGTACAAAGCGGCAAGCTTAGGAGGACTGACCCGGCTGACACAGCTTTCACCTTCGGGATGCTACAGAAGGCTTCCGAAGGTTATCCACCTAAAATCTTTCTTCAGCAAAACTACCATTTTTAAATATATAACTGGTATTAAATCAGCTTGCAACGTTACGACTGCTCTGAATTCAGGCTAGATGTGATTCCCCGCTTTCCCCTTCCCATCATCGGGGGACTAGAAGATGGCTGTGATTCCACCTCTATGTTGTGGATATTCCCAGGATTCGCACGAAGCGCTAGAGTAGAATTCCCTACCTGCGGACTTATTCCCCGAACGCTATATCTTGGACCTTTTCAAGGCGAGAGTGAATAGGCATAATTAAGATGTGCATGCTATATTATCGATCTCATCATCACTTTCCATCAGGTGAGATGGAGGTTAAAATTTGACCGCATTTAATGCGCACTTATTTTTTTAAAAAAAATGCAAGTACGGTGTCAAGACGATGCCTCCAGCATGCCTAAGGACACAGCGACATAATTGCCCTCAGTGTGCGTTTGCACTTAGGAATGCCGAAGGAACCCCTTGCCATGCCGTTCCAATGGGCACCGAACCTAGTTCTAGAGTTGGTGATTCAAGAAATCTGTATACACGCCGATAAGGATTATATAAGAATTTTTTTTACGATTCCAAGTGACGGGATGAACAAGTCGTGCGCCTGGTGGTAAGCGACATGCCTGTCCTTAACAGTTGCAGTGCCACTCAGAGCCTTAAAACACAGAGATCTTAGAGGCAATGGTATTGCGCCCGTCACCTTGAGACATACGTTGACAAGTTCCTTTTGCCTGCAATTTCACCAGCACCTGGCGGCGGAAGGAGGTAAGTTGGCAGTACGTCTCCAGACGAAGTCTTTTACAAGGAGCTCTACTGCATTTGAAAATATGTACGTTATAACCAACGAACAGAGTTTCCGTTTTATATAATAATAAATAAGTATTAGACAACATTATATATGTTGCTCCGATCCCACAGTAAAAGCACTTGCGTTACAGAAATTGGAAACAACAATGAAAACTTAGTTTCTATAGATAGCGACACCATGAAAACCGGTGTGAAAACCACTCAACCACGACAGTCGTCAAATTAGTTGGATACGTAATATTAGTAGAATACCTAAGTGATACCCGGGCACAGCTAATATATAATAAAATTGGACAAGATGTGTGATTGTCTCGTCACGCAGTCTTGTGCACACAGACGTGGTATCATCATCTTTGGTGTTTCTTAACGTTATTTCCCCTACAATATTTCACTATAATTACAGTAGGTACCCCTGACTTGATTCCCAAAACAATACATTATTCAGGAATAATTTTACGTGTAAGAACATAATACGTTCTTTGTTAGCCTCTACCTTGCGCACCTGTTAATTTCACATCCGAAATTGTCTTGTTAAAATTTATCGTGTTCCTTAATAATTTCATATGTTTTGAAGTAAGTTATTTAATGTTAAAGTGACGTCTTCTTTGTTTCTTATTCACGCTTTAACGCTATATGAAGGAAAAAGAACGAGATAGACAGAGAGACCTTCTGAGAAAGATTTAAAATAATTTATTGTTAAGATTTAATATGAAGCTCTAATCTTAGATTGCACTGTCCGGTCTCTCAGATGTATACACTTTATATGAATGTACTTAAAATATTTGTATTACACTAATAGTTATAGATTTTCTTTTCTCTCGTAATAAGTATAAGGGAAATTGTACATATATGTTTTGTATATCTTATTGTAATGTATACGAGTATTGTACTCATTGTTGGAGAACCAAATAAATAAAGAAATCATTAATATTATAAAGGTGGCGCCTTGGGTTTTTATATAATACCAACGGATGGGACGAACATGTCGTGCGCCTGGTGGTAAGCGACACGCCTGTACCATAACAGTTGCAGTACCACTCAGTGCTTTAAAGCACAAAGATTTGAGAAGCACTGCCACTGCGCTCGTTACCTTGAGACATAAGTTGACAAGTTCCTGTAAGGTCACTAAAATTAAAATTTATTTAACCAACTACAAATAATAATAATATAATAAGTATGTGCCAGACAACCACATCAATTGCCTGCCTTAAGAGGCTCTCGACTTGGACTTTCAACAGGACATCCTCTATTTGGTTAATAAAAAAGGTATTGTTTTATTACATACTTTGACCTGAACTAGTTTTTAGATTGTAATTTATTATTATACTAACACATTTGATATGACATACTTAATACATATTTAATATGACCTTTTGACGATTGCAAATAAATTGTAAGTAAATTTTTTTTAAATTATATTTTGATTTTAGATTTAACATTGCTGCGCCCTTACACGGTTCATGTTGATCTATACCAATAATTTAAGACCTATAAATCTAGCGACGTGATGCAATAAATGTTTTGACTTTGACTTTGACTTAGACTAAGTTGTAATATACAGGTAAGGTACAATTAAAGCTTAAATACTAGAAACTAGGATTAAATTATATGAATGGAATTGGGTCCCTGCGGCAAGATGCCCAAGATGCTGGCAGCGTTCCCCTTTGTATGGCTTGGGCAAGGTAGCTGCCTACCCTTGGGTTTTCCCAGACAGTCCATTAATTTTTTTGGATAAAATTTTGTTCAGATAAAAGTCACTGGGAGTCCACGGGCCCAGGGTTTCGACTCCAAAGGCGTTTTGCGTAGTTGGGTTTTTGGTTATTCACTTATAATGTTTTTTTTTTAATTTTCATATTTTAATATGTATATTTAATCTATTTATGTAAGCGACTATAAGTAAAGTATTGGCATTTAATATATGAAAAAAAAACATTCGAAAAAATGCCACTCAGAGCCCACCATATTGATTTTTGACGTATATGTCCTATTACCATAGGACTTTGGGGATCAAGAAGAAACCCTTATCTCAAACCGACCGATACCTCACATATATTAAAATTCATCAAGACGTTGAGACTACAAAATGTGCCAAATAATAGACACACATACAAACACAGTCAAAAACTTTCCGCTCTACAGCTAATGATCAAAGAAACGGATATTTTTAATTCTAATATAATACTTATAATATCTTTGTTTACGATAAAGTATCATCCAAACATTTAAAAATTATCTTTGTAATGTTTTTTCTTTACAATTACTTCAGAACGTTTGAACAAATTACAAAGGCAAAACAATAAATAAAATTCGGAATCGAGTAATCAATTTTATTCCAAAATTCTTTACGTTAAAAAGTTACCAAATATTTCAGCCAGAGATAAGAATAAAGATACATTTTTCTTTTCACATTTTCGCGTAAATATAAACACAAATTGATTGATGATATCATAAAACACTCGAGTTTATAAGGAATTTTCATTTTTCTCGTGGGTGTAAGATGTTAAAGACAATACACACTAGCACAGCGTGCTTAGCGGCCTGTGCTGGTGGATTTTGCCTGTTTACTGAGTCCGGCAACTTCACATTGTATTCATGCGCTTAACGGCCTGTGCAGGCTCAACAGCCATAAATAGATAATAAATAAGCATTAGACAACATCACCTACGTTGCCTAGATCACAAAGTAAGTATTTAAAGCAATTGCGCTACAGAAATCGGGAACAACAACGGTACCACAAACACACAGACCCGACACAATATCGAAAAGTTAGTTTTTCTCTAGTGACCCGGCCGGATCTCAGTGATGACGACACCATGAAAACCGTCTTAAAGTGATAATATATTGTAATCGAACTGGCTGTGAACAGTGGTATTCGATATTTTCATTTTTAAGACGCTTTGTATGTAATATAGAAAAATATTGTCTTACGTCTTTTTTATCACAATAGCGAACATGGTCAGCACTGTGACTTGAACAATGACTG